TCCACACTTCGGGCTTGGGTATGGCTGGCTGACGACGGCCAATAAGCCAGAAATGGCCATTCCAGTCTCCCTTGTCTTTGTCGGTAATATCATTCTGCCTATATATCATGCGCCGCTGTGCGGAGATGCGCGTCCCCGGACATAATTGAGAAGAAAATGCGATCTCGGGAACCATAGTTTTACTGTCCTGACGTTTCAAAAGCATACAAGCTTCCATCGTCGGAGGTGAGTGTGGTATCACGCCTCACAGTATTTATAGGTGGGTAACAGTCATGTCAGAACGGGTTTTCTTACATATGAAGTCAGGGCGGCAGGGGGGATGGGGCGGGGGGGAAGTCCTAGAGCGTCTTTTCGCCGGATGAGGGGGTGGTGGGTCAGCTTTATTGGTCATCAGCCGCATGCACACATGAACTGTGGCGGGCGGGGGGGGAGGGAGGGTGACGGAACGTACTCAATCTACATCGGAAGCCGGCGTTGCGACGTTGGTGGTCGTCGTTCGTACCTTCATTGACCGTAGCTGCCGTCCAAGCCTGGCAATCTTGTTTACGCCGCAACGACTGTCCGTTTTCTCGTCCGCCGGACTAGTAGATGGACCGGCTGTGGTGAGGACTGCGCCTTGGTCGGAACCCGGTTGAGGGGTGGCTGAGTGTGTATCCGCCATGGGCTCGCTCATGTCTGGATTCATGTTTAGCCTGGGTGCACGTCTGCTCATTTGTTTACTGAGCTGCGCTCGAAGGGCTTGATAGGCAACGGGAAGAGTCACACAGCGGTTGATGGAGGTTGTCCCCGTGTGCCAAGCCTCGATTGTTTCCCTGGCTATGCGATCGTTTCCCCGGCCCAGAATTTCGGCATCCTGAAAGGCGAACGTGTGTCCGGCATCGGCGCAGTGTTCGGCCACCAGAGACAAAGGGTCCATTCGCCGTACTGCCCTCATGTGTTCTCCAACACGGGTCTGTAGCCGTTTTCTTGTCTCCCCAATGTAGTTGACTTCGCAGGAGTTACACCGGATCCGGTAGATGACGTTCGTGGTTTCACCTAGTGGCAGAGGGGCCTTAGGTCTCATGACCAGATGTCGAATTGTTGACTCCGGTCGGTGGGCGATGCCGATCCCCAGCGGTCTTAAGAGACGCGAGACGGCCTCAGAAACGCCGTCGATGTATGGAAGCGCCCGCCATATTGTTGGTCGTTCTGTCACCAAACGTCGGCTCGGTCCGGCCTGTCGACCGCGTTCGATGAAGTTGCGAGGATACCCGTTGGCCATGAAGAGGCGCTGGAGGTAGCGTAGTTCTGACCTTCTGTCGTCTGGCTCGCTGCAGTGTGTTTCTGCCCTTCTGTAGAGTGCTCGCACACAACTGCGTTTGTGGCCTAACGGATGTTTACTGTGGAAGCTCAGGATTTGGCGCGTATTAGTGGCCTTCCTATATACCGTCGTTTTAAGGTGCCCATTGGGGTTTCGATGGACGAGAACGTCCAGGAACGGGAGTTGATTGTTGACTTCCGCCTCCATTGTGAACTGGATGTCAGGGAAAACAGAGTTCAGGACATCATGGAATTCCTTGACCATTTGCCGCTTAATGATAACGAAGGTATCATCGACATACCGAGCCCAAAATTTCGGCTTATAGGTTGAGAAAACGAGGGTCTCTACTTTTTGGAGAACTGCCTCTGCGCTGAAGCCCGATAGAGGCGATCCCATTGGCGTCCCCTTGACCTGCTCGTAGGTCGTGCCTTCAAAGGTAAAGTACGTCTTCAGGCAGAATCTCAGCAATTGGACGAGATGTCTCCTTTTTACCCTCACGTCCGTCTCGTCGTACTGACTCTCGAGCAGCTCGCTGACCGTTTCGATTGCCAGGTCTTGCGGGATCGAGGTGAAAAGAGAGGTGACGTCGAATGACACCATGACCTCGTCTTCGGTAAGTCTCATCCCTTTGATCCGCTCCAGGAACTGAGTCGCTGAACAGACCGTCGTGCCCGCGTTCGAGGTGAGAGACCTCAGGTTTCGGAACAGCCATTTGGCCAAATTGAATGTAGGTGCGTCGCGCAATGATACGATTGGCCGGAGGGGGACCCCGGCTTTGTGTACCTTTGGTAGTCCGTAGAACCTTGGTGCGGCCGCGTCTACTGGCTTAATGGCCAGTCGTACCGATTTACTTATTGCCTTGCTCGTTTGCATGTCGGCGAGTGTCTTGTCCAGTTGCGTCACCAGCCTCCTCATGGGTTCATCGTCACATGGTAGGTACGCCTGTCGGTCCTCCAGTAGGGCATTGGCCTTCTGAATGTAGTCTGCCTTATCCATCACAACTGTGGAACGCCCTTTGTCGGCTGGTAGAATCACGATGCTGGTGTCAGCCCTCAGTGTCTTGAGAGCGCGCTGCTCGGCCTTGGTAATAGTTGCACGCGGTTTGTGTGACATCGCTAAGGAGGCTACCTGCTGTCGAATGAGATGCTTTGTTTCGTCTGGTTCCCCGGTTTGTTTGAGAATCGACTCTACCGTGGCCACGAGATTGACTGGATCGGCGTCTGTGGTGTTGAAGCAAGCCTTATGACTCAGCACTTTCATTTATGCCGGAGTCAGCTGCTTAGAGGACATATTGTGCACCAGGACTTCGTTCTCCTCTTGAGATGATTTGCTTATGCTTTGGAGCTTGACCGCCAGCTCGGCATCTCTTATTGTTCGCAGGTTCCGGGCCCGTTTATTAATCACTTCTTGCAACTGCGCGACTCCGTCATCACCGATGAGTTCGACGCACTTTGTAACCGCCTGGCTCAAAACCCTGTTGTATTTACGCAGTCGAAGATGGCAATCTTGGAGAAGCGCCCGAATCATTCGTCTGCCATGTTCAGCCACCCACCGTTTGGCCAGACTTGTGTTCACCGGTGGCCTGTACGACAGGCTCTTCGGAAGCACATGATTGTCAAGGCATCTGTGGAGGAATTGTATTTGCGCGTACGTAGAAGACACACGAAGGGTGAATATTTCCCAACGTCGTGCAGACTCAAGCGCTTCGCGCCCGAAAATATTGCTAATAGAAGCGAAGATGCGCGTCCCCGAACATAATTGAGAAGAAAAGGCGATCTCGGGAACCATAGTTTTACTGTCCTGACGTTTCAAAAGCATACAAGCTTCCATCGTCGGAGTTGAGTGTGGTATCACGCCTCACAGTATTTATAGGTGGGTAGCAGTCATGTATATATATATTGAAGAAGATTGTATGGCGAGCTCTGCGTCAACTGCCTAGACTGTCAGGCCAAATATTGTGGCATGACAAAAAAAAACGACTTAAAACGCGCACGCATGAGTACACCTTAGCCGTCAAGCGGAAGGATGCACGCTCACACGTCGCCATGCCCAGTCTGAAAAATGACCTATCGGCTGGAATTTGACGGAGCCCAAGTACTCGGCCGAGCGGAAAACAGACTGGCGCGAGAAATAATCGAGGGCTGGCAAACAGACGCCAACTCCATCTACCCGTGCGTCAAACTACCGGCAAAATACGAGGCCGCCAAACACCACATACGCACCAGGGGAGGCCCAGTGAGGATAGAAATTGATGGCCCTATCATGCGCGAGCAAGAAGGACCTATTTAAACCGTGTAATTCCCTATATCCTATCTCCGATTATGCGTTCGAGTATGAGTGTGAAGCGTCAGATGAATAAATCATCATCCCCAGAGCTCGCCTTACAATCTTCTTCAATATATATATATATGGCAATATGCGTGAAGATGCGAGGTCCAGATATATTACCGTGTATATCATCCCCCGAGGAAAACGAAGAAGAGAAATCGATTTCATGGACCAGGTTGTATTCAGACTGACGTTTCGGAAACACACTCG